CCCAGACGGCGCCTTGTGTATTTGTGGCGAGCCTGTCATCCGTGGCAGGTGATCAGGTGTGATCAGGTGTGATCAGGTGTGATCAGGCTGTCGTCCGCCGCTGCGGCCCCGGGCTTGTCGGCGATTGACAGCCCGTTCGGCATGGATGGACCCATGCCGCGCTGGAGAGGAGCGACTGCACTGAACATGTATTGACCTCAAGCGAACGTGAAATTTTCCATGCTTCTCTGGCAGGTGTTATGGCCCGAGCACCTCACCAAAGCTCGTAAAAATTGCACCCCGGCGGCTTGATCAGTTCATGTGTAATGGTTGGTGGAGGCGAGGGCCACGATAGCCTGACCACCTCCGGTTTATGGCGACGCGGGTCCCGCTAACGCGACACAATGTTCGTGCAGTGCTGCTATTCTTCGTCTACTCGAACCCTGCTTGGTCAGATTTACTCAGCGTCTGGCCCGTTTTCACGAGCCCTTGGCATGCACAAGTTCAGCGTGGTGTTCGTGCAATACTTCCTTTGGCTTGTAAAGTAAATGGATGTGAAATGACCAGTAAATCAGCGGTGTAGTTCCGCTCTCCGGTGTGGAACGGTCCAAACCGGTCCGCGCCAGTCGGACTGACCGCACCAGTCCACACCGGTCCACACTGGTCCACAGCGATCCAGACTGGTCGTCACAAACGGTTCCCTCTGGCCACTTCGCGTCGTTCCGTCAACAATCCACTCTGGCCAAACTGTTCAGAAATAAAAAATAGCTGACATTACGAATTTAAAGCTTTTATGTTCAGATATCGGCCTTGAAATACCAGGAGGAACAGGTGAACGCCTATATACCCCAACCATTACTTATATTGCAAATATTCAACGAAACATTCCTTACATTGGCGATAATTAGGGTTGGCATTATGAGCAATGCGTCCTCTATAACATCGTTTCAGATGTACTTCCTGGCAAATTGAAGGTCCATCACTTCGCATAAGAACACTGAACTCATAGTGCCGAAATACAGATATGAAGACGTTTCTTACTGACATCCAGTAGAAGGACAGAGTAATGACTCCAGAACCCATCCCCAACTCCGTGGTGAGTCTGGGCAGACCATAGATCGCTCCTGCAGATGTGCTAACCGCTTACCGAGGGCTTCCAAGAACGCCCCGCCCCCAGCTCGCCTGGACGGAGACAGGCTGTTGGCAAAGGAGCTCATGTTCGGTGTGCAAAGGGCATATGTGCACATATGTATGCATGTACATATGCACATATGCATGTCTGCATTCGAACGGAGCAATCATGCCAAGCGCGCTTGTCTTTCAATAGCCAAGGCCAGCGACGGAGATCTCGGGGGGCGTGGCGGCATTCCCTCCTGATAATGTCCTGAAGGCAACCAGCTGTGACCGCTTGAAGTTTGAAGCCGGTTTGGTGCACATAGTTGTAGATTTCGCAGGTAAGTGTTAGGTAGTAGCTTGTGGGCAGAGTTGTAAGACTAGCCCAGCAGCTCTGAGCCTGGGGGAGAGGAGTGAGCGTAGAGGCAGTTTTGTGGAGACATGATAGGTACCACTGTGGGGCCGCGGGTGTGACCCAGCCCTAATTTTCCCAAAATTGTTGTTTATCCCGTCCCCTGTCCAGCCACTCCGTTGCGTTAAATGCGTTTCCTCGCTTTGCTATTCGAATGCCATTTTTGGATCAAGTCGCTCCCACAGATTCTACTTTGGCCTCTCCGATCCTGATGTGTCGCCTGCCATTCTCAGATACATGGCTGCAACCACAGGGAGAGTGGCGTTTGCTGGCTCGGGGCATGGCATCGGAGCGGGACATCACATGGTCATTACATGCCAGACGTGTGTCCTCGGTGGGCGAGAAGAGACCCGTCAGTCTCCGTCTGGCGACCGTCCAAACACCGGCCACCGAGTGGCCGAACATCAGGCTGCTCCTGACGCCCCGTAATATCGGCCATTCGGCAGGGGCGTATCCAGCGCTCTGTACCAGGAAGCTCAGCATGAGCCACCAGTCAGCAGGGGTGCGGCCAGGGCTCTGTGTCGGGGAACTCAGCATGAGCTGCAATTCAGCAGGGGTGCGGCCAGGGCTCTGTGCCGGGGAACTCAGCATGAGCTGCCATTCAGCAGGGGTGCGGCCAGGGCTCTGTGCCGGGGAACTCAGATTGTGGCTGCCATTCGGCAGGGGCGTAGCCAGGGCTCCGCACCGGGACTCCGCATGTGGGCGGAAGTTTTACTGGCGTTGATGTAATATTCTGAATGTTCGAGCAAGTTTATCTTACCTGAAAATATAACGCCACAGCAAAAATCCGTTGCCAATCTCTAACGAATGCCTTACCATATCCAACTACCAAGATTTAACAAATGTGGCAATTACTAGAATACGAGAATATAATACCCGTGAAGTGCTGGTTTTCGTCATTACTTCAACCCTACTGGCTTAGAGTTACCCAGCGCGAGTTCCGCTCTCACGAAACCTTAACAGGCAGAGGTTCATTGTAGTTTTCGCGCATTACTACCTTTGGTTTATGAGACAAACTGCTGCGAACTTTCCAGTTAATCAGAGTCGGCTGTTCTGAAGTCGCGCTTTCTTTACACGCGCTAGGATGGCCGGCTGGATGTGAAACGCTCGGGTGGGGGTGTAGATACGCGCGCATGGTTTGGGGTTTAGAGACGCAACTTCCAAAAAATATCAACCGGCAGCCCAGCCTCCTCCGCCAAGCCAATGATCTAGTCCACAATTGCCTGCCTAGCTGGTGATTCAGCCCGCAAGAGGCCGCTGTTGTATTGCTTATCCACCATTAGCCTACAAGTATGCATTTGTTGCAATATGCATTTTACCATCACACCCTAATTTCAAACCTATATATTGCATTGTACACAAAATGGCATATGACTGTCGCCTAAGAGATGGCAATGTTTTGCTAACACCAGTGGTTTTGCTCAGAGACCAGGCAATCAAAACGCCTGCAGAATGGAATTTATCATGTAACGAAGTAGATCTTACATAGTGTGATAGCAGTTTTCAAAAAATTAAAACATACCAACAGTAGCAGTGGGAGCAAAGCGTATTGTTAAGAGCCCTGTAATCGTGGTCGTAGCCTGCATGTTTTGCAGATATTGATGAACAAACTCTATGCCACCAGTTTTTTTCAGTTTTGACCACTGTTGCGCATTTGATTCGCCGTGAATGAAGGTTTTAACGTACATACTGCTCACTTTATCTGGCTACCTACGCTCGTTGAAGCCGTTACTGAAGTCTTGAAGGTAGGTGTGAGGATACCCGCTGAGTCAAACCTTTCAGATCGGTGAGCTCTCTACCGGCAATTTGCACCTCCATCCGGGGTGGAGAAAGTTGCCAGGATTGGTGCCTCAGGAGCGCTTCATACGATTTTTCCAGGTGCCGCCGAAGGCCTAGCGCTTAAGTTCCACAAATATTGCGCCGGGAGCATAGAGCCCATAAAGCCGCCCCTCTACTCACATCCAGCTATAGCGCCCGCGCCTCTGTCATTACAGGTCAGTATGTAAGTGTCCAAACGGAGAAAACCACGCAGTCAGTACCGACACTGGCTGGAAGCCGGTATTTTTTCATTGCCTTTCTGCACTGGCATTCCGATTAAAAAGATACTGTAAGGTATTGACGAACGCAAACCCGTGTTGCCAATTTTGCAACTGAATGTTACATCCAGGCAGCAGGAAATAAATCTAAAAGAAACTCAGACTGGTGTATGCCAGCCAATCGCACTTGATAAACATTAGGCGTTTGCTTCTCCTGACATATCCTCTTCGGAGATGGGTGGGGATGAGATGGGGTGAGGGTGGGGCATGTTACCTCGCTTATCTCCACGCAGGCGCA